TGTGTGTGTCTGATTATATGTTTGTCTCTATTTATACCTGCATATGTCTGTCTTTCTCAGGGTTCCTGTTTAGGTCTCTATATGTCTCTCTCTGTATGTGGGAGTAAGGGGGAGGGCTTTCTGTCCTCGGGTCTCCATGGTTTGTTCTCAATGTGTGTGTGGCCTTTCTCTATCTCTATCCCTGCTCATTTGCTATCATCTGTGTATCCATCCATCCATTTCTCTTTTTCTATCCATCTGTCTTTTTGCCTCTGTTTCTCAGTCTCTCTCTCTCTCTCTCTCTCTCTCTCTCTCTCTCTCTCTCTCTCTTGTCTGTCACTCTGTTTCTGCCTCTCATCACCATCTCCATCTTTCCCTGTGTGTGTGTGTGTGTGTGTGTGTGTGTGTGTGTGTGTCCTTTCTTTGGATGTTTTTGCTCCTTCTCACCTCCCCTAATCCCCAAAATAGCTGTCCTCCAGAGGAACTCTGGGTGTTATTCCCTCTTGTCTTTGCTGCTCCCCAGGCCAGCCGCCTGGTCCACGGGGACTGTATATTTTTAAATGGAGGAGGTTGAGTGGGAGGGTTTGATTTCCCAGGCTCCCTCCCCCTCCAGAGGGCAGCAACCTCCTTTGTGTCTGTCCATCTGTGCACCTCCCCCACATCCTAAAACCCTAGAGACATTGCAAAGGGCTCTTCTCAGCATCAACATACAAGTTCCTCTAAAGACCAGAATCTTCATGCCGGTCCTCCCGTCTCCCTGTTCTTAGCTTCAGGAGAGGGTAGGCTGGAGGTGGCACTCGGCTCAGCCACTCCCAGCTTTCACTCCCACGTCTGGCCTCATGCATTGTGTGACCGGAACAAAAGCCCCAACCTCTCTGAGCCCAACATGGCAGTGCCTTCCATCAAAGCCAAGGGGCTCTGATGCAGCCTCTGGCACAGGCTGGAGCACAGCAGGCCTGCAGGCAAGGTCTGCCTTTCTGGACCAGAGCACATCCACCCACTTGTTCATTCCTTCACTCAACAAGCATGGGCAAGAGCCCGCCAGTGTGGCTCAGTGGTTGAGCATGGACCCATGAACCAGGAAGTCATGGTTCAATTCCTGGTCAGGGCACATACCCAGGTTCCAGGCTCGATTCCAGTAGGGCATGCAGGAGGCAGCTGATCAATGATTCTCTCTCATCATTGATGTTCCTATCCCTCTCTTTCTTCCTCTCTCTGACATAAATAAAATAAAACAAAAAAAATTTTTTAAAAACCAGTCATGACAAGAGACATTGTGTTGGTGAGAACACAGGCTAATCCCGAAGGCCCTGTGAGTCTCAGTTGCTAAGGACTCCAGATTCATTGTTACCCAGAGACCTTGGGGCAGGGATGAGCAGTGTCATCTGAGTACAGCAGGAGCCCCTACAGAGCGGACTTCCTATGAAAGACAGTGTCGTGGACCATGGTGAGGCCTTTGAAAAACCACCCAGTGAAATCCAGGTGGAAAAAAGTGGCACAAGTAGCTGTTACTTTTAAGTGTCCCTCCCTTTGTTTGATAAAGGGTCCCCCAGGGGCAAGGAGAGGTCACAGCCCAGTGTGGCAAAGGCCCGTTCACGGCCTTTGGGCTGAGGTCTTGGGGAGAGAGTATAAGCTTTTCTCATATATTATCTTTTTACTTTGGATTCTCACATTCCTTAATCCATTTATAATGCATCTGTGAAAACAGGCTCATGTTCTACATGTCTTTGTCCTCCGAGCCTTGTCCAGGAGTGGCAGGTAGGAGGTTTTTTTAAGGTTACTTCATGGTTGATTGGATGGGTGGATGGATGGATGGATGGATGGATGGATGGATGGATGGATGGTTGTATGAGTGTTTAAAGGGACATGATCCCTCCAGGCATACTTCCCCCGCCCCCTCAAACCGCCTGAATGATCACCACAAAAGCCCTGTGTCTTGTGATTGGCTTGGAGAGGAGATTAGAGGGTGGTGAGGAGACCCCCCTGGTTGCTGCCCATTCTGTCTTCAATCAAAGCCACAAGTATAATTATCCTCAGGATCATAGCTACTGATTTAACAGCCAATGAGCCAAAGACCTTAGGACTCATCCGGAGAGTGTAGAGAAATGGGCTCAGAAGCTTTGGGCTAAACTCTCGGAGGTCTCCTCTGTCCCTGCAGACAGACTGTTCCCTTCTTCCCCAGCCTCCAAGAGCAGCCTGAACACACTTCTATTGTAAAACAATTGAGCATTGTCTTCTGTTTTCCCAAGTTGGCTCAGAACTCCTCAAAAGCAAGGATTCCCCTCTTCTTTCCCCATCCCCCAAAAAGCTTATTTTTCTAGTACCCAGCTCAGACCTTAGAATGTGGTATAAGCTAAGTTAATATTGCATGGATCATCAAATTGATAGTTAGATGGTTGAAGAGTAAATTCACGGATGATTTGCTTTGAGCCTATTGGATGAGTGGATGGATGAGTGGGTGGATGGATGGATGGATGATTGGTTTTAAAGGTGATGGCTGGTTGGATGGATGGATGAATAGATGATTGGTATTTTTTTATAATAAGCTGTTGAATGCTTTGCTAGATGGGTTGTTGAATGGTTTCTGGATGATTGGTTAGATTTGGATGAATGGATAAATGACTGGATGGATAGATGACTGGATGGATGGATGGATGGATGGATGGATGGATGGATGGATGGAAGCATGTGTCCATAACGAAGACTAGAGTCAGCTTTTCACATGATACAGCAATCTGCCCTGCAGTGCCTCTGATAGTCCTCAAATGCATGCCTATTTACCTGCAGTAACTCAAAGGTATTTTCATTAACTAACAAGAAGAATTGTAAACTTTCCCAAATTCTGGGTATGGTGATGTAGTATATATTAGTGGGTAAGGGCTTAGACTCTGAAAACAGACCTGGGTTTGAATCTCAGCTGAACTAATTAAAGCAGTGTGACCTTGAACAAATAAATCTCTTGACCTCTCTAAGCTGTGGTTTTCACATTTGCAAAATGGAAATAATATCATCGTGCAGGGTTGTTATGAGGGTTACATGACATAATGAATGGCAAGGGCTGATCAGTGCTCAGTAAACTCTATTGCTATTATTATGTCACTGAGTCAAATGCACCCTCCTGTAACTTCTTTTTTCCACCAAGAATACGGTGTGCCATAGTGTTGTGTATTTAATGACAAACGAGACTACATGGTCCCTCATCTCTTGTAGTTTATGTTCTAGTGGAATATTTAAACAATAAACAAGTAAATGAATAAACGATTTCAGGCAGCGCTAAATGCTATGCAGGAAACTGAAATAGGGTGAGGTGAAAGAGAGTCACCTGGCTGGGGGCGGGGTGAGGTGGCCTTTTATTGATCTGTGAACTAATGACAGGAAAAAGCAGCCTTGTAAAGAGCTAAGGAAAGGGTGTTCCAGGAGCAAGAATAGCCCGTGAAAAGGCGCTGAAGCAAACACCTCAAGTAAAGATAGAAAAGGGCCGGGGGCGAGGTAAGTAGCAGTAGCAGTAGCAGACCTGCCAGTCAAGGTACCCAGGTCTGCAGGAGGCAGATTACGTTGGCGTGGAGGCTGGGCTGTGCGACTTGGACATTAGCCATGTTCATTCCTCCTGTCCTCTGGAACTACGTAGAAGATGCCTTGTTCCTTTGGCAGTTGTTCCGCTTTCCGGTGGCAGCGAACAGGCTCTCAATCTCCTGACCTCCAGGCTACACACTCCCAGCTCTCGGCTTCCCCCTTTGACATTCTGGGACACATGCAGCGAATGCCCTGACAATGGTTCTGGTCCCATTAGCCTCGAACCCACAAGAAATCAGGTTAGACTCAAAGGGAATCAGGCTGAAGAAAGCCGGGAGATCTCCAGCCGGAATTGTAATGAACGAAGCCAGTGGCTGTGTTTCTCCTTGAAACCTCGCCCCTGGTGTGGTTGCAGGGGAAAACAGCCTCTCTGAGCTGCATCTGGGATCAAAAACAAAACATCTGGAGCCATTTATCCAGATGGGTCTGGTGTAGGATCCAGGCTTGCAAAGAAAACTAGGATGTGGCTGACGGTGGCCAATCTCCAGCTGGCTGATCTAGGAGCTCCAGCGGCTCCTCGGGCTGTAGCCCTCTCCCTCACTCGGCAGTGCTGCTTCTGTGTTGAGCCCTCTCAGGCAGCCTCCATGTGGGGACAAAGGCGCTTTTAGAATCCCCCAGTTTTGTGTGCACCAAAAAATGAGCATCTCTTTTTAGTTGTCTCAACAGAAGTGTAGAATTCTGTGTTGGGAGCTAATTAGCTTGGTTGGGTTACATGCTCACCTCTGCATCATGCAAACTATGGCCAGGGAGATGCAGTGTTCGAACTAGCCAGGCCAAAATTCTGTGAATGCCCCTGAACTTGATAATGGAGGGAGGTCCTCCTCATCCCTGTGGACTGGGATTGGAGAAGAGGGGGTGATGCCTCTCAAAATATTGGCTGAGACTTTTCGCTATGCAAGAGGAATAAGTTCTAAAGACCTTCTGTACAGCATCGTGCTTGTAATCGACAAGACTCTACAGAGCTCTTAAAATTTTGCTAAGAGGGTAGATCGCCTGTTATCTGTTCTCACTGCCATTTTTTTTTTTTTTTGAATGGATGCTTTTCAGAGAAAACAGGAGAATAGACTTGGACAGACGGGTAAGACAGGTATCTTAAATTTTCCAGCTCAGAGGTAACTTCTCCTCCTCTGTGGTTCAGAGATGCATCCCTTATGCCTCTTATCTCCTCCTGTTCGATAGTTTAATATGTGTTCCTGTGTCTCCGTCAGCTCTTTAAAGCTCCCTGGGGACAGAAATTGTGACTTAAGCACCTCACAGTCCCCCCACTCCTATTGCACCAGGAGAGCATAAGGGTCCAGGACATGCTTGGTTATGCTGAACCGGGTTTCAGGGCCCAATGTGACTGTGGTGCCCCCGGCCAGTCACACAAGACGAAGCATCGGAGAACCTGCCCCCGACAGGAGCTGCTGAGCCTCACCCACCTCTGCGATCTTTCCGGTTTCCCTCAGGCAAAGCCAACAAGAACGTCCAGTGGGACGAGGACTCCGTGGAGTACATGCTGGCCAACCCGGTCCGGATCGCTTTCGTGCTGGTGGTGCACGGCCGCGCCTCCCGGCAGCTGCAGCGCATGTTCAAGGCCATCTACCACAAAGACCACTTCTACTACATCCACGTGGACAAGGTGAGCCCCCATCCGGTCGCCTCCCGCTGGCCTTTCTCTGTGGGTCCCTCTGCCCCTCTGCAAGCCAGCCTCCCTTTCAGGGAAGGCGAATAGGCTGAGCAGCGACCTCTCCTAGAACGTGTGTGTGTGTGTGTGTGTGTGTGTGTGTGTGTGTGTGTGTGACAGTCTCCATAAATACTGGTTTCTTCCCTCTTTTCCTCACTGTCCCACTGTCCAGTACACTGCCTGCCGCTCTGTGAGGAGAGCTATCCCAGGCGTGGGCACGCTTTTCCTATGAAGGGCCATATAGAAAGATTTTAGGCTTGAAGGCCATACCCGCTCTGTCACAGCTGCTCAGCTCTGCTGTTGTCATGTGAAAGCAGCCATAAACAACACGTAAATGAGTAATGAATGTGTGTGGCGGTGTCCCAATAAAACTTTATTTATAAAACCCCCGCAGCAGCCCTGCTGACCCCTGAACTATCTTGTCCCAGGGGTTTCTCTTTGCCTGGAGTGTGACATGATTACGTCCTTACTCAAGAGGCAAAGGATCTGCTTCTAGCGGGCCTGTGAGAGGGGGATGGAGACATTCCGCTCCTCACAATGCCCTCAGGCTTCGATACAGCCGTATTTCACCGCTTGCTATCCTCAGACCTCATGCCTCCGTCTGTATACAAATGCAGAGCCCCAGGCTCCTAGTGACCCATACATAGGTCAGAGGATGGGGCCGGGGAATCTGCACCTAAAATAACTAACGTAAAATGTAAACAATAATAAATGTTCGAATAGCCATGTAGAAAGATGCCCCCAACCCGAATCAGCTACTGGGCAACGTTCAGAAACCCTGCCGCCTAGAAGGGAAGGGACAGAGAAGGGGCAAGGGGCATGTCTGGGTGTTTTCTGGGCTGCTGAACATCACCCCTTTCTCTCCTGGGACAAAGCGCTCCAACTACCTGCACCGCCAAGTGCTCCAGTTCGCCCGGCAGTACGGCAACGTCCGCGTCACGCCCTGGCGGATGGCCACCATCTGGGGCGGCGCCAGCCTCCTGGCCACCTACCTGCAGAGCATGCGGGACCTGCTGGAGATGACCGACTGGCCCTGGGACTTCTTTATCAACCTCAGCGCTGCTGACTACCCCATCAGGTAAGGTGGCCCTCTGCCTGCGCCGAGGTCCCACTCCCTCCCACCCTCCCTGGTCTTAGCGTTTTACCTCCTGTGCAGAGCAGCGTCTGCTCATGCGCTGTCTTCACAGATGCCTCAGCATAGGATCCACACTGGGCCTGAGCATCATTTGCACATTCACACATTCATTCATTCAACAGATATTTGTTGCATATGCAGTTTTTCCCCGCTCTGTTTGAGGAAACACTAAAGCGACTGTCACCCTTCCCCACATGGAGCTTTCAGTCAAGTCAGGGAGACAAATAGCAAACAAAATAAGTCAAATGGTGCATGGGAAAAGCAAAGCCAAGAGGACACAGGGGAGAGTTGGAATTTTAACCAGCGTGACCAGGACTGCCCTCGCCGGGTGGAATGGAAAAGGAAAGAGGAATGAGTCGCTCGGGCAGGGAAAGTGGTCCTGGAACAGGGAACAGCAGGGGCTGAGCCCTGGGGTGGAAACACACCTGGTGTGTCCAAGGAACAGTGGGGCTCAGTGTGGCTTGAACAGACTAAGTGAGGCGTAGGGGAGGAAGAGACAGAAGAGCAGAGAGCAACTCGGGGTGAGATTGTAGAGATTCCAGAATTTGGCTGTCATGCAAGCAAGATGGGAACCGCTGGTATGTTCTGAGCAGAGGAGGAGAAGGTGTGGCATCAGAGTTAAACCAGGAGGGCCAGGGAGAGGGAAAGAGGTTCGGTGCGACAGTTCAGGGACAGTCACAGATATGTGTGAGTCTTTGGGCTATCCAAGGACTTTGGGTATCTTGGATTTTATGCTTTGGCTCCTATCAAATTGTAACAAACAAATTGATTGTCTGCATCTTTTAATTGGGAAGTTTCATGCGAAACTACAGATTTTGAGCTTCTCTCGGTCTTCCCACTCAGCCTGCCGCCTGCTTGGCCACGGTCGAGTGGGGCAGATATTGCAGCCCGCAGTCTGCAGCCCCGAGGTGGTGGAGGTGCCACAGGAAGGTCCCTGTGCACAGATCTGCTCCGTAAAATAGACCATAAGCAAAGAAAACCCCTCCAGAGAGTTTACAAAGGAAAAAGGCAAGAAAAATGAGGTCTATTTCTTTTTTTAAAAAAAATATATTTCTTTTATTGATTTCATTGAGGGAGAGGGAGAAAGAGATAGAACCATCAATGATGAGAGAGAATCATTGATTGGCTGCTCCCTGCATGACCCCCACTGGGGATGGAGCCCGCACCCCGGGCACATGCCCTTGGCCGGAATTGAACCTGGGACCCTTCAGTCTTCAGGCCGATGCTCTATCCACTGAGCCAAACCGTCTAGGGCTGAGGTCTATTTCCTAAGAAGACGGCAGCTCTATGCTCGGCCGTGTCTTCCATCCTGATTTATGGAGGAGGCTGAGAGGCAGGAGTGAGTGGACGGGGAGGGGGACAGTGTGTGAAGCAGAGGGTCTTCCTCCTCCTGATGCCTTGAGGGCACTGAACAGCATTCCCAGAAATGAAGGGATCTTGAAAGAACTCACTCACTCTTTTATCAGGGCAATTTTCAAACGTGCACAAGAGTGCCGAGACTAATAGAAGGAACCCCTACTTATACATCACCCGGTTTCAAAGATAATCAATTCGTGACAGGCTGGTAATATCTATGCTCATGTCGCTTCCCCCTTTTCCACTCCCCCCACCCCATGAACCATTTCCAAGGCATTTTCAAATCGTATCTATAAACATTTCAGTATATATCTCTCTTTGAATATAACATCAATATGATTATCACATCTAAAATGTTCAGCAGTCATTCCTAAGTCATTAAATAGCGAGGCCACATATGCCCAGGAGTTTGGGTTTTGAGTGAGGATCTAGATGAGACACAGGCGTGGAAGGAAGGCCTCTATTTAAAGTGACCACCTTTAGTTCTGGGCTTGGTGGCATCCCATCGTCTGCCAGGGGACCCTGGACTTGGGGGAGGCACAGTCTTTGCTCATTTTAGGCAAAATGTACCTGACACCCTTGAACCTGAGAAAGATGAGGGGGGTTATTTTCTTTTGTTTGAAGGATAGCAGGGGGGAAAAAGTGACTTTAAAACATCACTGGCAGGTTTTTATTTACTTATTCATTCAAACATTCATTCAAGGTTTATTAAGCAATTACCATGCTACACATCATTTGGGCATTTAGTGAATAAAAGCCACACAGCCCCTACCTGGTGGTACCCTAGAAGGAATCAAATAATCATGTAAAAGAGGCATCATGCAAGGTATGACAGGGCCATCAAGAGGAAGCAGTAGATGGTCAGAGCGCTAAGGGGCAAAATCAGGACGTCAGACAGGCCTTTGAATGTGCAGTTTTGAGTTGAGACCTGGGGGTAAGAAGGGATTATCAGCTCTGACCAGGTGGCTTGGTTGGTTAGAGCATTATCCTATACACCAAAGGGCTTTAGATTTGATTCCTGGTTGGGGCTAATGCAGGAGGCAACCATTGATGTTTCTCTCTCACTCTTTCTCCCTTCCTCTCCAAAATCAATCAACATAGCCTCAGGTGAGGATTAAAAAAAAAAAGATTGGCAAGCAAATGAGAGAAAAGTCATTCTAGTCTAGGATTTCCCAACCTGGGCACTATTGGCATAATGGGCTGGAGCATTACATGCTGAGGGGCTGTGTCCTGGGCACTGTAGGGTGTTTAGCAGTATGCCTGGCCTCCACCCACCAGATGCTCCTCCCCACCCCAGGCACCGTGACAACCACAAACATCTCCAGTTGCTGTTTCCCTCTGGGCAGCATCGCTCTCCAGTTCCTGGGAGAAAGGACAGCCTGGATAAGACTTGGGTGAAAGGTGAACTGGATGCGTTAGAGAAATTGAAACAGTGTATAATAAAAGAACGAGGAGAGGTGAGTTAGCGAGGGACAGGGCAAGATGAGTTAGAACATTCTCCTCCATCTTCCAAGGAAGGACTGAGTTCAGAAATATCCTAACTTGTGTAGCTGCTGATGCGGGAGGTGCTTCCTTCAGTCCTCAAAGCAAACCTGCTTTATTGAAAGGCAAGCTGAGGCCCAAGGTCATATACAGAATACATGGCAGGCTGGGGATTAGAACCAGTTCTGTCTAGCCCTAAAGTTGGTATTCTTTCTGTTTGAAGCTGGTTCCTGGGGATGTCAGCTGGCCCAGAGTGGAGGGATGGCCCCAGGCCGCCTACAGAGCATAGCAGCTCCCCAAACTCCAGGCTGGGCAGGCATGTGATTGCACCACCTGGCAGCAGGAAATCTCATGAGGAAAGGTCACCTATTGTCCCTGAGTCTGACTAGCTAGGATTAAGATTACCACACTTTCTTCCAGGCCTCCTGCAGAGGCCCCAGAGATCATTTCAGCCTAGGTCAGGTGGCTGAACTCGGCCAGAGACCTCTTGAGATCAGTTAGGTGTGGCCACGACCCCTGGACCTTCCCAGGTCTGGAGCCTGCCCTCTAGAGGCTTTGTGTTGACTTGCAAATTGACGCCCTAACCAAGCATCACCACTTAACTAAGGCTGCTCTGCCTGGTTATCAGAATTTCTAGCATTTCAGCTTCCAAGAGGATGAGTGCTCCAACTCTCGGCAGGTGGCCAAGGTTTGAGTCTGAGTTCTGCCACTTCACTGGCAGAACTAAAACCATCAGAAGTAAATTCAGTCTTTGTGAGATCAGATTGTAGCAATGCAACCAGCAGAGTGTTGAGCACTTAGAAAGCGCCCAGTCAATGTCCACAGTCAATTCCGTTGTGTGTGAGGCTGAGCCTCATATCCGAGGGGCCCAGAAATCCTTCCTTAGACTGTGTGCCCCACCTATTTGGGAGTTCGGGGAAGAGAGTCATCATATTTCTAACTTTTTAGCTTCACGCTCTGGGTCTCTGCGTCTCTGCCTCTATGTCTTTCTCTGCTCTCATTTCCATGCCCCCTCCCCCAGTTCTTCTGTCCACTGTGCTTTGCCAGCCTGGTGGCCAGAGGCATGTCATGCATCAGGCACTGCTGCTTCCTCTTGCTGTTGTTTTCACAAAGTTGCCCCCACACAAAAACATGTGAGTTTTGCAGACCAATGGTTTTATCCTGGGCAACTCTGATAGGCCTTCACTTCCCATCTGCCACTCCATCTGTAGCTTCCCAAACCACGACTTCTTCCATCTCTGGCTCAGCAAAGGCTGCTTTAGCTTGTACCTGAGAAATGGCACAGTTTCGGTGCCTATTTCATAGGGAGGTTAGGACAATGAAAGGAAACGTTGCGTATCAAGGGCTTGACACGGTACCTGACATATAGAAAATGCTTGGTAGACGCAGGCTGTTACTGGTGTGGCAATGGGATAGTGTGGGCACCACAGGCTGGGCTCAGTCATCAACTGAACTGCTTTTGGATTTCCGTTCATCGTGAAAAGACTGATGCAATATTTCTTAAGCTCACTTCTCTTTCAGCAGTCGAAAAAGCAGTGTTAGACTGTAAAGGCCAATGTTCCAAGGAAAAGCAGGACAGAAGCACCTCGTTTGTCCATGTGCAGACTATTTCTGCATTTGGAAGATGCACGCTAAGTGCGTTCAGGAATTCGGGTCCTCCGCCCTGGGGCTAACCAGCCCGCCTGGCCCATGTGGGCTATGGTTGGAGCTGGTGCTATATCCGGTGCATGGATGAAACAGGATATTTTCAAACACGGAGACCTTGTGAGGTCTTGAATCATTAGAGGACATGCTTTTATCCAATATATTCTACTCAGTAAGGCAGGAAATGGCTCTGGCATGCGTTAGTTACATGGGCCACAGGAAGGCATGAAACCAGAAGCAGTCTGCACTGTTGTTTAGTTGAGGCCAGTGTCCACCTTCACCAGGCCCTGTGTCTTGGGTCTAAATCCAGTGCAAAGGGAGGAAGGCTCAGTATGTCCTTGGCCCCTCCAGAGCTCACATGCTGTTTGTGATGTGTGTGCGAGAGAGAGAGAGAGAGAGAGAGAGAGAGAGAGAGAGAGAGAGAGAGAGAGCGAGCGAGAGAGAGCGCATATGACAGGGGA